CATTTATGTTTCAGAGCAGGAATAAGACTTGCATTTTTAATTCCGGGGAAGACAAATTAAAGTCGGCACTTTGGGCAAGATATTCAGAGAGAAAGAAAGCAACAGCTTTTAATATAGCAGCAAACCACTGGAAGCAGAGCTTGATGTATTATTCAGAAAGGCCACGCAGATACTTTGGAAATCAGCCACGTATGGAAGCTGGTCAGTGATTAGTTCCTTGACAGGAGGCTCAAAAGTGGCAAAAAAACCAATTCATGAGTCATTATTCATAATTTACATGTTGGTTTTTAACCAAATTGGAGTACGTGATATTTCTACGGTCGCGTCAAGACATAAAATATGCAGCTATTGGCGTTTTTGGTTTTGGTTCCAAACTCCTTAAACTGTTAATATGCTTAAAAAGGGGAAAAATGTCACAAGAAATGTAAATGTTTTAGGAGTTCCACAACTTCATATTTTTGAAATCGACTACAACATGACAAAAGTTGAGTCGATGTCGACTAGTCGCAGTGACGTCAGAGCAGCTTACAGGCTTTATTAGCTTCACTCAGAGCAAATATTGACAAAAAAATCCCACCAAGTCATGCAGAATTAAAAGAAGCAGCAGAACATTATCCGCACTTATTCGTCAGCAGCAAAGTCGACTTTTTTGTTTCAAACCGTCAATAACGGTCATTCAATGGGCTGATGACATCCGACGCGGATCATCATTAAAAAAACTGAAGCGATCCAGTTTGATTGGTTAAATACAGCGAAGCATCTGCATCCTGCTGCTCCTCCATCCCGACGCACAGCAGGATGCTCCACTGACTCAGCAGGACGAACCGACATGCAGACGGCAGCAGAAAAAGTTTGAGGATGAAAAGCGCAACATCATGATGCGTTGCTACACATCATGGTGCGTTCACAGCCAATGCGTGTTGCGCGTCAAAAACAAGTTCAACTCGGGAGCACTTTGAAGTCAGACGCCTGACATTTTTTTGACGGCACTTTGACTAAAGTCCGAGAGGTTAGAGTCCTTGTCAAACGGCGTTTTGACTAAAGTCCGAGAGGTTAGAGTCCTTGTCAAACGGCGTTTTGACTAAAGTCCGAGAGGTTAGAGTCCTTGTCAAACGGCGTTTTGACTAAAGTCCGAGAGGTTGGAGTCTTTGTCAAACGGCGTTTTGACTAAAGTCTGAGAAGTTAGAGTCCTTGTCAAAGAGGGTCCGAGAGGTCAGAGTCCTTGTCCAACCCTTTGACTAAAGTCCAAAGGGTTGGAGTCCCAGTTGACGGCGTCTCAACTAAAGTTCTACAGCTTTTTATTTCTCTCAATGTTTACGTTTTAATGATATTTTTTTTAAATCTCTCTCTTTCTCACTGTTTATTACATGCTGTTTTTATTTTAATTATGTAAAGCACTTTGAAATGCCTTGCTGTAAATGTGCTATAAAAATAAAATTTGATTCATTGATTGATTTTACTCTACAAGTTTCACGCGCGAGAGGCGTCTGGTTTACATTCAGAGTCCATGTGGAGGCCCATTAAAAGCGGCTCTAGCCATAGTTTTCCGTTGTCGGACGCGCTTGAGGTGTCAAAACGCTTTCAATCGCGCCGCGCTACACGGGCCCTCGACGCGCCTCCACATAGACTTTGAATTTAAACCAGACGCTCCTGACGCATGAGATGTGAACGCAACATTATTCCAGTCATTTAAAGATTTTTTTAAAGATTTGTTTCGGCACTAGTTCAATTTAGTTGGCAGTAATCCAACACAAAAATACATGGGTCAAAGGAACCATGGCCGGATGCCGCTGCGGTTCACAGCCTCCACTTGGGGGTAGCTAACCAAAACGCCTCTATTCCAGTAGACTGTCCTAGAGTTTACAGAACCCATTTGGTAAATTTGGTATTTACATTTTTTATACAATTAGTATCATCTTCCAACTCGGCGAGGGGATGTACTCCGTCTTCGTTCATCGTCTTGGAGAAATCATTTTTATCACATGATTGGCACTAGTGGAGCTCCGTAAAAAGTCACAGTAAAGAATCAACTAGTGGGAGCAAACCCTGATATGTTTGCTTTCCTACTGTTAAGAGTAGTATGTGTCCTATAATTAACCAATAAAAGTCATCTTAGTTCTTGGTCAGTAAAATTAGATTTTGACCAAAGGATTTAAAATACATATAAAATGTTAGCAGGTAAAATAGTTAATGGTAACGTCAAGAAAAGTTTAAGTTAAAAACATAAAACAGTCACTTGTTTTATCATTTTCCTATGACAGAGTTTTAGGCCCATAATCGGAAAAAAATTATAAAATTATGAGAATAAACTTGTAAGTAAATGACGTAATAAAACTGAGAATAAAGTCGAAATAATACAAGAATAAATTCATGTTAATATGAGAATAAAATCATAATATTTCAACAACAATGTCATAAGTTGAAATATGACAAATTTATTCTTGCAATTTTATTTTTTTCCTCTCTTAATGTGGTTGTAATACTCCATTACTCTTTCCTGTTATGTTTTTGCATTAGAAATATTTAGCAACAGTACAAACACTACTTTAATTTATCTTTTCAAATTAAATATATTATGTTACACTCATGCAAAACTGATATTTTACTATGTGTAAACCATTAACAGGTCATTGAAACCTACTTCTAGTTGAGATGTGATAAAAACTTGATTAGTTTAATGTTTTGTTACCTAGTTAACCAGGGTAATGCATAAGAAAAGTTAAATCAAGGTGTTTTTTTTAAGCTGCAGGTTACTACAGAGTAATGCAGTTGAGCTTCAGAGAAACCTTAAGATAAAAGAAATCACTGAATCTCAGCTTGGATGAGAAAAACATCTACATCTGCAAGCAGCTCTATGGCTGTTGCTTTTTCTCCTATAAGACCGAAGTCTATAAACAGCCTAACGAGTAAACAGGAGCAGATCACTCACTTCTCCAGCTGCTGGAACATGCAACCATTTCATGGGCAAAAAAAACATCGATTTGATATAAGCTTTGGATGCTTTTTGAATAAATCTCTGTTGTGATGCTAAGCACATGCAAACACACACACACGAGCTGACACTTTGATCCAAAGCCTCTTATAGCGCTTTGAAAGATTTTTCACCTCAAAATGAGATCCCAGAGATCCTCCTGGCTCCGGTGCACAATGCAAGTCTGATCAGCAGCTGAGATCAAAGGCAGGGGAAGCGTCCGTGACACGACACGAGATAATGCCAGCCAAGCAAAATCTACTCGACCTACGCTGGGGGGTTTTTTTAGCAACAGAGTCCGGACAACCAGCAAACTCGCCGAGGATTTCCCCCCAGACACAACAAACACAAACTAAACTGTGATAAACTCATGTAGATTTCTGTGGCCTTATCGCGCTTTGTGGTGCTTTTTGTTTTCTGCAGCATGTTGGAAAAGAGACAAACAGATTTCCTCCCAATTTTCAAATCCAATTTATCGCAGCCGGTGCAACACAAACCGGATTTGTGCAATTCCTGCTCTGCAAAGAAAAACGAAAATTTAAATCTAAAATTCTAATTACTGCTGGCAAAAATAATGATGATTTGTTTTTAAAAAAGAGAAAAATAATGTTTTTCTTCACCGACATTAAATCAGACTAAACATTTTTCTGCAAGAAGCCAGACAAATTTAGACCAGTGATTTTTTTTTACCCAGAAACTTTATTTAAAACTGGAAGTTTTCACACACTAATGTTACTGTACCTTTAAATTATGATGTCACTGACTTGGAAGACATGAGCTGAAATGTCATTCAGAGAGGAAGAAGCCATCACTGCACAAAACCCAGAAAATATAGTTTGTACCTTTTTATGAGTTTGACCAAACTAAGTAACTCTAATGTTATGATTTTATGTCAGACTGAGAAAAAAAAACTTTGTTTCATACAATTTATGTAAATATTTGGTTTCAAACACCGAAAAACTATCAAACATTTTTAATAAACTAATATAGATGCATTTTTGACCAATTTCTAATAATAGAATTATCATTTGACCTCACATATTAGTGAAAATCAAAAGGTGCAACAAATGCGTCGCATATGGGCGACACCCTAAAGGGGGCGCCAAAATGAGAAGGAATAATTACTTCTAGTCGTAATTCACAGCTGTTTGTGCGTTGAAATGTGTCTGTACACAACCCAGGAAGTATTTAGCGGCATCCCTGGTCTTCCAAACACATGCTAGCCAAAACTGGACAGTAAAAGATAAGAAAATCTGGTTCGATTTATCTGGATTTCAGCCGCGACAATCATCTGAATATGGATGGCAGTCAGCCCAAAGGCAGCCGTGGCTACAACATAACTTACCGCCATCAGTGTGAATGCAGTATGTGTGCTTTCTAGATGGAGTTTCACAGCAATAGAAACCAAAAGTGCTAATTGGCAAACATAAAAATGAGAAATTAATAATATCTTCCAATGCAATGACTATAATAGTATATATTTCATGCATATACAACAGCTCGACGACAATAAAAAGTGACATTTTGAAGGAAAAAACCCCGGAATATTTGCAATGGTAAAGTTTAAAAAAACAATGCCATAAAATGTGCAGAAATAATATATAAAAACAAAGATGCAAATTTTACACCTTTAAGTAGAAAATCTGGTGAAATGTTACGCTCAAACGGCCACAGTTAAAGCAAAAACAACACTGGTTATATTCTGTGTGTGACGCTGGTTATTGTTTATTTACATTCTTCCCTGATTTATGTGCGCCTCAGTAATCTGTGTTTTCTACTTGCTACCATTGTAACACACCCCCTTAAAGTAAAACCACCGCTTATCGCTTCTAGGCGCTAAAAACACGACAACAAACATTCAGAAACAGCGAGCTGAGTGTGGGAAATGGTTTTCTTCAGCGCGGCGATGCAAAATAACAAAGTCTGCAGGAGTTAACAGTTTCTGGGGAACAATAGGAGCGCTGTCAGGGGAAGAAAAGACCTCCCAAAGTTGCAGCGAGAGCCGGAAAATAATAATTGAAAACCTTACCTTGTTTGACACACTTGAGCCGCACGGGGTCTTTGCTGTGTTTGACCACAGCGTGGACATCCCTGGTGGTGAGTCCAGCCACCGGGGTGTCGTTGACTTCCAGCAGCAGGTCCTCCTGGAGGAGTTTCCCGCTGTGGCATGCGGCTCTGCCCGGGAGGAGCTCGCCGATGACCGGGAACTGTCCGTGCTCCGCGCCGCCCTTCAGCTCCAGCCCCAGCTCCCCCTCCTCATTCCTGCAAAGGATACTCTCATGGACTTTGTTGGTCCAGTGGTTCTTCCTCTTCTTCAGGGTCTTGGACATGGCGAGTTTACATGAGTCCAGTCGTGAGCGAAAAGGAAAAGTTTTTCCGTCGCCGTTTGCGTCCCCGCGGTGTCGCAGTTCACGCTGGAATGCGTCCCGTTTCAGTGGAAAGGCGCAGTTGTATCCATGTCAGCGTTCAGCAGCTGGATCATCAGTCTGCGTTTTTGGATAACTGAGCTGCTCAACTTGTGATGCGTTCACTACAACCCTAAAAGCTCGGAGATACTACTATCACCACACACTAACGAAATGTCAAGGAAATAAACCCGCCTAGAAGAGAAACTGCGACATTTTTTACAACATTATTGCTAAAAAAGTTATTTATTTTACACTTAAAATGAAACTACTGTAAAACCATGCATGAATAGTCCGTAAATTTCCATAAACCTGGAATATTAATGCGTTTCTTATTAATGCGATAACTTCAGGATATATTCTAAAAATTACATACGTTTTATATGATTAATAACAGAAAAAAGACACCATTACAACTTTTAAACTTCAAAAGTACAAGTTTACGGTTTGACTCTTGAACGCAGCATGAAGCTCAAACCAATGCCACTAACCCGGATGTGAAGGCTCGGTGAGGAAGAGGAGGGAGGAGAGGGTTTTCCCAAATCCAGCTTTCCATAGGAAAAAAAAGTGAAAGTGGGAATTTAGGCTGTGGTAGATCAAATAGCTCCTCCATTCAGCAACATTTGAATCATTTTTCTGATTGTTCTTGATTTTTTTAAAGCTGTTGAAATAAATTTACTACAAAAGTAAGTTTGTGTAAGTTTATTTCATTTATTTATTGCAACAAAGCTTCTCTAAATTGTTAGAAATCAACTTAAATGGTGCAATATTAGTAAGAAAAATGCTTGTATGTTTCAAAATTCTTCCTTAAAAAGCCAAACATGGTTCGGTGGAGGCAGTATGATGGTGTGGGACTTTGAGACCAACTGCAGGAAATTAAGTTATTAAAATGTGAAATCAAACTCTGATGCAGACCAAAAAATGAACTCTGGTCTGCCCAAAAACCTCAATCTCAGTTCAATTAAAGTGAACTCTGGTGCAGTTTGAATGCTTAATGTGAACTCAAAGAAGACCGGAAACCGCTCCAAAACCAGGAAGTGGACCACAGCGCAGGGGATTCTGGGTAAATGTAACCAAAACAAACCTGCAAATCCAGTTAGCTGGAAAAATCACTTGTTGTCTTCCTATAATCTGATTTTGTTTACATTTTCCCAAGAAGGAAGTTGCGTTCTTTTCTTCTTCTTCTTCTGAGATTTTCATGTCGTTTCCTTCACTAGTTCTTGGTGCAGCGCCTCCACAGGCGAGGAGGGAAACAGATTTTTCTAATTATCAAAGTGAAGTTTAAGTGAAACACAGCAGCTGAAAATGTAACAAATGTTGCAACTGTGGTGTCGAATCAAACCGAGTTTGAATGAATCTTTTTGTGTCAGCTGTGAAAATGGAGTGGAATTTTAATTTACTTTTTCACTGAATTTGAACCAAATAAAGTTAAAACTGTGCCACCTGTGGGTGTCTGGATATCTACAAAGCTTTCTTTAAATCTGTAATACAAAATATATACATTTTTTGTAAAATTTTCTTAGCTACCACTCTGAGTATGTTGTTATTTTAGCAAACACTGTCTTTTTAAGACTACTCCAGTTAGCGATTAATCGATTATTAGCTGAAAATGTTGCAATTTTTAGATTTTTTTGTAATTTGGAGGCAAAAGAAGTCCAGTCAGGAATCGGTGCCAAGTTGAAAAACAAAGAAAGGAAGTGATAGTGGGAATGGGAGTATTTTACCAAGACAGGAATTCAGGAGGCTGTTTAAACAGGGAGAGGAATGCTCTGCGTCTGGCAGAATAAGTGTTGGGGAGGAGAAAAACAAAACATCAAGCCGCTTTGCTCAGGGAATGAAAAGCCCGGGATAAATGTGTGGGATTAAACTCTGAGATGTGATGGGTGGGCCACAATGAGGCCACAAGTTTGTCTCACAATAAACAAGTATTTTTAAATTCCTCCCGGCCTCCATTGTTGTTGTTTTTTTTGCATTTTAAGTAAATCAGACGGTCATATCTGCGCCACCAGATGGGAATTCATCGGCTCGGTCTGTGATGCTGCTCCTGGGAATGCAACATCTCTCCGCTGCATAATGTAATACTTACGACAGACCTCTTTAAAAGATAATTAAACTTGGTCTGGAGTAAAGAGGAATTGCCTGACGATGGCTTTCACTGTCGGTGAAAAAGTCATCTTCACTCCATTTGAGTGAATGATGCCATTCCCGCTCCAGCAGAGTCATTTTTTGGCAATTTGGCTGCTTGTTTTACACTTTCACGCCTCGTATGTGAGACTGAATGACTGAACGGAAAGCTGCTCTTTCTGAGTCTTACTCAGACTGATTCCGTCTGACCCGTTTACTCGGCTACCGGCTGACCAAAAACCCAGCACTGGTGGTTTGATGCTCACAGATAAATATGAGGGTCAAACTGAGAAGCTTTTTAGACTCCACTGATGCAAGTTATCAATTACTGAGCAGAGTCTGGTAGTAACTTGCTAATTTTACTTAATTACAGTTAAATTACTTTTAGGAGTATTTTTATACTTGAGTAGTTTTGTTATGAAGTATCATAAGTAAAATTTCTGGATTTTCTACCCACTGAATGAAAAACAAACATGTTTTAACTAAAAATTCACCAGAGACACAAACCCGCAGTTTTTCTAAAGTTTTCTAATTTTTTTTTTTTTTTTTTAAATAAATTATTTTGGAAAATTATCTTATTTATTTGCTACTTCTATGAATTATTGTCATGTTGACCCTTAAAATCTCCAAAATTTACACTTAACTTTATATTTTGGTCTGCATAATTACCAAATATGTCTTTACTAGTAAGTAAGTACTTTTACTTAAGTAAAAATGTGTGTTACTTGAGTAAAACTTTTGGCCACTCTGCTCACCTCTGTTTATAGATTGACTAGATAAGTGGCCATCTTTTTAAAAACCTGAGTTTCCTCAAGATGGATAATCGTTTAAATTTAAGGCTAAATTTTTGTTAATAGTAATAAAAAATACATTAAATTTTAGTGTTTTTTGTGTCAGTTGTATTAAATCTTGACTGTATAGACATAAAATAGTGGTTTTCTCACATTATTAAATGTAATTACCTCTTTTGTTGCTGAATTAAAAAGTAAAAAATGAAAAAAAAATATATATACGAAACACTAAATTCATATAAATGTGATTAGGAGCTTTTTGAGTGTTTATATTTCAAAACAGAACCGCATGAAAAAGGCAACAACATGGCATTCCTTCAGTAAATTTGAACCAGGTGAAGCTAAAAATGCCACTTGAGGAGTTTTGGCTAAAATATATTCACAGACACAGTTTATTTTTAAATATTAAATACAAAATATGTATGTTTTTGACTTAATTCCCGCTCTAAATATGTTGTTTTTTAAATGAAGTTATTGCAAAATTAGTTCACGGTTATTTTATTAACCGATTAATCACGATTAATCGTTTCAGCCTTAAATTAAAAGTGTCAGCGTCATGCAAAAAGTGAAAAGAATCCTACTTTAAATAATAAAATAGCTCCGTCTCACAGTGATTTTTGTGATTTGCATACCTGATTACATTTTGTTGATATGTTCACTGACAGGAAGTGGACTTTCTTCGCCATAATAAATCCTGTAGTTTTAAGGAGATTTATCATGCACATATCTATCCTGTGACCTTCAGTAATAATCTTCAGACTAAATTCTTCTTAGATTACAGTTTCCTTTTCTGCCACTGAGGCAAACAGGAATCCAGAGCTGTCATTTCTCAAATATTCTCCCTTTTAATCGCATCGTTTTTGCTGAATCTCCTCACTGTTATTCATAACAATGCGCCTTCTGCTGAATCTTCCTCTCTGAAGTCCACTCATGTACAGGCAGCTGCACACAAGGTGCATACCTGATTAATGATGTGAAGCATTTTTATGGAGACTCAAGTGAGGCTTTGAAATAAAAATGGATTTTTAAAAACTAAGTTGCTTCTTTCTTTGAACTGGATCTGGATCAGAGCAAAGTTCAGCTGCACTAATGAAAGATAAAGGAGTAAAGAAGGGGTCGTGAATAAAATAAATCCATTTTAAGTCATTACATGTTGGTTAATAATTAAAATTAGTGAGACAATGTGAAGCCAGGCTGCTTATTTTATGTAAAATCTCAAATAACTGGTTTGCGTGGCATTTTGAAGTTCTACCAAGGCAGCTCAAACGAAACCAGCTCAATTTGTTTGGATCAAATTTAGCTGTTAAGCCAAATCCGGACATAAATTGCATAATTGTTGATAAATGTACCCTGACCTAATCAAATAAGTGAATAAATATCTGCTTAAAGCAGATATTTATTTCACAGGTGTAAAAAGTTGCAGATCTTCTGCCAATTTCATTCATTTAGGAGAAAAACGGGGAAAGCCCGCCCTCATGTGTTCCTTTCAGGTATTACAACTTAGAAAAAAAGGTAATTGCTGCATATTTCTTTCGTTTAAAGTTGCGTTGCCAGTATGTGCGAAATAAATAATTTTAAATAATTGTTTTTGTGCTATATGTAGTCCACAAACGCGTGTTTGACTGTTATGCAAATTACCCGGGATCCAAGATGGCGCTGGTATTAAATTTAGGATGTTATTCAGCAGAAACTCTGTATAAAAGTGCATTTTATGCTGCACATATTTAGATTTTTATTGTATTGTCTGCCTTGTTTTCAGTTTCAACCTTCTGAATGTCATTAAACCTGCTGACACGCTCTTCGTTCTGCAGAAAGGGGCCAAACATGGACCAGCAACGGCTCAGCGCAGTCAATTGTTTGGTTCAAGTCGTTTTTACTTAAATCCCATCAACACATGTTGAAATATTTCTTAAATTAATCTATTTTTGTTAATTTAGAAATTCAGAAAGATACAGAAATTTATCTTGAACCTTTAATATCAGAATAAAACTTTTTGTGATTTTAGTTTTATGGCTCACAAGTACTCCTAAAATGACAAAAAAAAAAAAAAGTTTAGACACCTTTTGTTTTAGTTTTTTCTAGATGTAGATTGATTTGAATGCCCCTCACAACAAATCCAAACTAAAATACTGCATCACTTCAGTTCCTCATATCAAACCAAAATTTGGCGACATTCAAACAATACGGCAGAGTCAATGTTTGTTGATTGAACCTACCCCCTGGCAGGTCTCTGAGACGAGGTTTTTGCAGACAGAAGACCTTGACAGATCTTTTCCGCTGCTGAAACATGAAGCATAAAGAGTTTGTGCAGTTTGCCAAGGGGTCACTTATCACCTGCAGGCAGCAGAACTGACGGAAACAGAAGCATTTCTTCTGAAAGCAAGAGGCAA